ACCCACACCCCATCCCTGCTGGCCCTTGGCCTGCCTTTGCTTCCTTCCTCCCCTGCTTGACCGGGCTGGTCCGCAAAGTGGGGCTGCAAGCCAAGTCTCTCCCTCCTGCTGCCCAGAGGGCGGGGTGGGGCTGGAGGCAGAGGAAGGGGGGGGACACCTAGCCTGGAGCTGGCTGACCAGGGAGCCCCAGAGAGGGACAATGGGTCAGGGATGAGAGAAAGCCAGCCATCCCCAGAGCCTCTCTGCAGAAAGGCAGCCCCTTTAAGGCCACCTCTGCTCCCTGCGCTCTGCAGGCAGCAGAGGTGAGGGGTCCAGACCAGGCTCCAAAGCCATCTCACAATGTCTGAGTTGGCTTCCGGGAGCCCCAAGGGGAACACACATCTCCAGGCTGTCCCCAAAGCCCGGCACAAGCCTGAACCCGGCTCTTCCCAGCTGGGAATCTAAAACGAACGGGGCAGGGTCTAAAATCTGTCCTCCTGAGCATCAGAGTTACAGGGGAGTCTGAGAGAAAGCGAGTCCCAGGGGCGTCCCCCGGGTCTCTGGTTCTCTGGGTCTGCACAGAGCTGAGCCCTGGGGATCTGAATTGAGAGGGGCAGAGCGAAGGGGGCCTGAGGGCCTCTACTGGCCACATCACCCGGAAGGTTTAATTATCAGAACTAGACACACAGCATTGCCTGGGGCCCGGGTGCTGGGGCCAGCACGACCGCACCCTGAGGTGTGCACATGGGGGAATCACGGGTGCTTGTGCCTCCGCCCCCGCTCTCGTCCCCGGCCCTTGATCTGAAGGTTTAGGGCTGCTTTCCGGTGCAGGCGTCCAAACCACAGAACTGTGGTAAAAACAGTAGAAAGTGACCTGAGACTAGGCTGGCTCTCACTCCCGGCTCTCTCTGTCATCTTCCTGGAGGCTGTAGCTTCTAGAACTCTCATGGCTCAGAGGACCAGCTGCCAGTGACTATTTTATTGTTTGTTTTTTAGTACCCCGCTCCTTTCCTCTTTGGTTATTGTTTGTCACTACTCATTCAGTTATTCCAAAGGGCAGTGCCCCAGGATTACACTTGGCAGGTGGGGTGGTACCAGGGATCGAACTCTGGGCCTCCCAGTCCAGATGCTCTGACTGAACTGCCTGTGGGCCACCAGAGTTAAATTTGCATACAGGAAATGAAGTGAAGACCTGATCCTTGTGGCACTGGCCATATCTTTGAGGGCCCCATAGCCATGTGAGCAGAATCTACCCCTATGCATGGAACATCAGCATAACCCTATCACAGTGCCCGGGAAAGTTCTCTCTCTCTTTTTTTTTTTTCTTTTCTTTTTGAGTCACACCCCGCGATACTCAGGGGTTACTTCTTGCTTTGCACTCAGGAATTACTCCTGGCAGTGCTCAGGGGACCATAAGGGATGCTGGGAATCGAACCCGGGTCAGCCGCGTGCAAGGCAAACACCCTACCCGCTGTGCTATCTATCGCTCCAGTACCTCCAGGAAAGTTCTCTTGAACTTTGTGTCCTAGAATAATAATTCCACAAGGGCAGTAGTACTTTTCTGTCCTGTTTACTGTGGTGTCCACAACACCTAGCACAGTACCTGGGACATAGTAGGTCAATAAACACTCTTCTTCTTTTATGGTGCCGGCGAATGAGCCCAGAGCCTCACCCAGGCGAGGCTAGTGCTGCCTGCTGACCTACCTCCCTGGCCCAATAAACACTTCGTAAGTTCCTTTTGTTATTGTGGCAAGATAGACCCACCATAAAACATAGCATTTTAACAACTTTTAAGTTCCACACAGTGGCACTGAGTACATTACACTGTTGTGCAACCACTGCTGTCATCTGCCAAACCTTTTCACCATCCCAACCACAGCAGTAATTCCCTATCCATCTATGTATATTTATGCAATACATATGTGTATATATAAATGGCTTAATTTGTTTGGTTTTGAGCGACACTGGGGACTATGTGGGGTGCCGGGGGCCAAACTTGGGTCAACTACAAGCAAGGCAAGAGCCAAAGATATATATATATATATATATATATATATATATATATAGTTCTTTTATATCTATAGAGAGAGAGAGTTCTTTTTTTTTCTTTTTTGGGTCACTCCTGGCAATGCACAGGAGTTACTCCTGGCTCTGCACTCAGGAATTACCCCTGGCGGTGCTCAGGGGACCATATGGGATGCTGGGAATCGAACCCGGGTTGGCCGCATGCAAAGCAAACGCCCTACCCACTGTGCTATTGCTCCAGCCCCTGAATGAGTTCTTTTTAATAGAAAATACAAGACAGAGGTACATGTCCAAAACCATCTTGGAGATACAGTGGGCAGAATTCAGACTTACCCATAGAGCTATATGATTGGGAAATACAGAAAGCCAGATTTATCAGTGGGTGTGAATCTCAGCAGGACCTTCTTTCTCGGAGGCTCTCTGGAATGCACGGCTGCCATTTATCACCCAGGATTCGGGGTGTATTTAGCCCCCTGGGTTCATCCGCTTTTCAGCCACTGTATCTTCAGACTCATCCATGCTGAACTTTTTTTTTTCTTTTTGGGTCACATCTAGCGATGCACGGGGTTACTCCTGGCTCTGCACTCATGAATTACTCTTGGATAATTCCTAATGGTGCTTGGGGAACCATATGGGATGCTGGGAATTGAACCCGGGTCGGCCGCGTGCAAGGCAAACGCCCTACCCGCTATGCTATTGCTCCAGCCCTTGAACTTGGTAAAGTCCCACTTCTTTTTTTTTTTAATTTTTTTTTTTTAGGCCACTCCTGTTGGTGCTCAGGACTTACTCTTGGCAGTGTTCAGGGAACCATATGGGGTGCCAAGGATCAAACCCAAGTTGGCCACACATGTGCAAGCAAGCTTCTTATGTACTATACTTTTTTTTTTTTGCTTTTTGGGTTACACCCGGCAATTCACAGGGGTTACTCCTGGCTGTGCACTCAGGAATTACTCCTGGCGGTGCTCGGGGGACCATATGGGATGCTGGGAATCAAACCTGGGTCAACCACATGTAAGGCAAACCCCCTACCTGCTGTGCTATCACTCCAGCCCCCCTACTGTACTATTGCTTCAGCTCCCAAACTCCACTTCTTAGTGACATGGATTGTCTGGTGACCAGGAACTTGAACTTGAACCCACAGGGGCCTCAGTCACATGCTCCTTGTTCTGTGATTTGTGCAGATGGACACGAAGATTTGGTTGATGTGGACCCTGACCACCATGCCCTGAGGCTTTTCAAAGGCACCTGCATATTTGTTTGGAGCCTAAGATTGGGGCAACATGAGGGCAGATATGAATGTCCACTGCAAAGGACAGTCTCCAAGGGCCCTTAGGGCAGGCCGTATCAGCAGCAGACACTGCCAGGGAGGCTCTGTGCAGCCACAGCACCCAAGGCCCCAAGCGGGGTGGAATGAATCTGCTTGGAGTGAAGGGTCCTTGGTCAGGTCACTTTCCCTCTCAGACTTTAGCTTTCTTATCTGCAAAAGCCCTTATCTGGTTCAAGCGAGACAGCTCTAAAGGCTCAAAAGTCTCTTGTCCCTGTGCTTTGACGGGAGCCCGGGTTCAATTCCCAAAACAGGGTCCCCTGAGCACTGCCAGGAGCGATCCCTGATCAACATGCCAGGAGAAGCTTCTGAGCACCCCTAGGTGTGGTCCCTGCGCCCAAAATGGGTATTTCATGAGTTTGCACCTGGCGAGGTTACAGAGGAAAGTGAAGGAGGAGCAGGGGGGTGCAGCTGAGGGGGAGGCCACTAGCCTTGCACAGGGGAGGTCCTGGATTCCATCATCAGTGCCAACTTAAGAAAAAAAAAAGAAAGAAAAGAAAGGAAATAAAGAGAGCACTTAGCACAGGCAGTCAGTGCTCATCAAATATTGGCTATTGCTCTATTATTACACCATCAGGAAGTCATGCCCTGTTGTCCCACCCTCCCTGCTCTCTGAACTCTGCATGTAAGTAAACAAAAAGAGCTATACTGCCGGTGTGAATCACGCAGGTGTGTTTTGTCTCTGGGGTGTGAGCCGCTGCTGATCCCGTGTATTCCCAGCTGGGCCAGCACCCTACTGACCAGCATGTCTGCCCCCCACCTCCCCCCTGAGAGGGCTTTCACCAAGCAGCCTTCCCTGGGATCCTGTAGCTCCCTCGAAGACAGGGAGAGAAACTGGCAAGAATACAGACAGAGCATGCCTAGGAGAAGCTGGAAAGGCCGGACCCTGGGATATTGATCAAGGAAGCCTGTGGCTTCCTGATTCCCGTCCTTTTTTTTTTTTTTCCTTTTAGGTCACACTTGACAATGCACAGGGGTTACTCCTGGCTCATGCACTCAGGAATTACTCCTGGTGGTGCTCAGGGGACCATATGGGATGCTGGGAATCGAACCTGGGTCAGCCACGTGCAAGGCAAACGCCCTACCCACTGTGCTATCACTCCAGCCCCTGATTCCCATCTTTTGAGAATCCCCCTACCTGGTTAGCAACTGGCTGACTGACTGAGTAGGTGGATGGGCGGATGGATGGATGGGAGAGGAGTGAATGGATGAATGACCATTCGGTGATCAGTGGATGGCGGAGGATGGCTGGCTGGATGAATGGATGGACGGGTGTCTAGATGGGCTGGTGGAAAGATGGATAGAGGAGGGGTAGATGGATGGATGTGTGTATGGATAGATGGATGGAGAACAGATATGTGAATGTATGTATATGTGGCTGAATGGTGGAGGGTAAGTGGGCACATGGGCAATGGAAGCTATCAAGTTGTTGATCCCAGTTTTGCTGCTGAGGAAACAGGCTCCGGGTTAAGTGAGTTGCTCGGTAAATATTGATGCATTGATTGCAGGCTGTTAGAGGGCAGGGCGTGCTGGACAGTGACTCCAAACCCGGGAGTACCTTTAATCCCTGCCGCGAGGGACGGTAGGGACAGCGTCTGGCCTAGGACAGGAAGTTATTACGGCAGAGTAGAAAGAGAAGCTATCTCCGGCTATCATGAAGGAAGGAAGGGACTTCCTTGGCATTGGGTTCAGCTGGGCTCAGATCTCTCACAGATAAAGGGACAGTTCTGCTAAGCTGGCAACCCTGCTAAGACACCCTGATCCCTGGCCTCATATCCACGGTGACCAGGTAAATGTTTAACAACTGGCTCTCCCAAAGGGAAAAATCCAACGGTCCTGGTATGTCACTTGGTTCAGTATGAATACTTTCCTTTCAGCTGGGGTCAAGGTGCCAGTGGAACCTGCCTCCCAGCGCAAATATACCATCCACTGTCCCCAACTCAGGGGGAAACAGCTTCAGCTCACCATGACGTCTGTGCAGACGCATCTTCCCTTCCTGGGCCTCAATTTCCTCATCTGTAAAAGGGATTCTTGGGCCAAGGAGACAGCACAGTGGGTAAGGTGCTTGCCTTGTACACGGCAACCTCTGTTCCATGCCCCGCAGCCCATATGGTCCCTCCAGTCCTTCTAGGAGTGATGTCTGAGTTTAGAGCCAGGAGTAAATCCTGAGCACAGCTGGGTATGGCCCCAAAACCACCCACCCACCAAAAAAAAGCAAAAAAAAAAAAAAACCCGAACCCCTAAAAGGGGGAGTTTCTTATTTTTATGGTTCCCAGCTTAAAACTCAACCCGCCCCCCTTCAAGGGGCCCCGGTGAGGACAGCCAGGCATGGGGGCAGGAGATTCTGCGCTGTTTTCTTCCGGGAGCTGGGTTTTATAGTCTCTGGGTCTTGGTCGTTGATGGGATTACACGGTACATGGCGGGGGGGGGGGGGGGCAGTTGGTGGGTGTGACCCCTGCCTCCTGGAAGATGGAGGATCTGGGTGAAGGATGCTCAGTCCTAATCCAAGCAGGCTTGGAGATCTCAGCTCAGCCCCAGGACCCACATGCCTTTGTTCCTCTGCCGGTACCTTCATGCGTGTGGAGAGTGGTCTCAGCATGGTTGTGGCTGGTTCTGGAGGTCTTCGAGGTCTTTGGCTTCCGGGGCTCTGCTCGGGGTGGGGAGGGAATCTCAACCCACCCCCCTCCAAGGCAGTAGATTCTGTCCTCTCCGGGGCCGTAGATTCTGTTCTCGCCAAGGGGCCCCGGCGAGAACAGAATCTACTGCCCCTGTACCTGGCTGTCCTCGCTGGGGCCCCTTGAAAACGGGCAGGTTGAGTTTTTCTCCACACCCCGAGCAGAGCCCCGGAAGTCAAAGACCTCGAAGACCTCCAGAACCAGCCACAACCATGCTGAGATCACTCTCCACACACATGAAGGTACCGGCAGAGGAACAAAGGCATGTGGGTCCCAGGGCTGAGATCTCCAAGCCTGCTTGGATCGGGGCTGAGCATCCTCCGCCCAGATCCTCCATCTTCCAGTAGGCAGGGGTCACACCCACCAACTGCCCCCCGGCGCCATGTAATCCCATCAACAGCCAAGACCCAGAAACTATAAAACCCAGCTTCTGGAAGCAACATCTTATTATCATTCTTACTTTGGACAACCTGGCAGAACACCGAATGTAACCTGCCCACACGGCAGAGTCTGGCAAACTCCCCGTGGTGTACCTAATATGCCAAATACCAGTAACAATGATGGGTCTCATTCTCCTAAACCTGGAAGAGCCTTGAATATGGCACTTTTTAAAATCTCAGGGCTAGGGTGAAGGAGATGTTACTGGTGCCTGCTTGAGGCAATCGATGATGAACAACAGGATGATTGTGATCGTGCTCGTGATCCCAGCTTTAAGCAATTATGGAGATAAACAAAGTGCTGGATATGAGGAGATCAGCAAGATTCCAGTGACAGTGGAGTCACGCTTCCATCCCTGGATGGGGCATATGGTGGTGGTAGTGTGTGTGGGGGGGGTGTTTATCCCTTTCCTGTCCCTGGGCAGCCCATTCTTCTATCCTGTCCCCTGAGCCAAAGCATCCTTAGTTGCCCAGCAGAGGATCATGTAGTCCCTTACCTCTCTCTTTTTGGGTCGTTTCCAGAAGCTGTGGCTGAGGGTGGGCAGGGGGCAGGCAGAGCAACCAGCTGGTGATGACAGAGTTTGCCTAAACCTGGAAATACAGGCTCACCTACCCCAGGTTGGCTAATCCCCCTCATTTACCCTGGCTTAACTGCTGGCACCATGCGAGAGGGGAGGAATTCCCCTGCACCACCTAGAAAGCCCCTGCTGTCTCTGCCCTGCTGGACCCTGGACACCCAAGGGTCACATCTCTGACAGTCGGGTGCCAGGTCCTGGTGACACCCCCCCCCACACACACACACATCCCACTCTGAACCTGTCTTCTAGGCTGAATCCTCCTTGCACCCAGGGAGGAGCGAGCCTGGAAGCTTAGGAGGAGAGTTGTATTGGGAAGGGAAGACTCCATTCCTGGCAGATGTTCCAGAAGATTCCACAAAAGGAGATGAAAACACACAAAAACATTCGGGCAGACGGGCAGAGGCTTACTCTTCAAGCCTGTGTTCTCCCTAAACATGTATCTATTTTCGTATTTGTTTTTCAGATCACACCTGATGATGCTCAGGGGTAGCCCCTGGCTCTGCACTCAGGAATTACTCCTGGCGGTGTTTGGGGACCACATGAGAAGCCGAGTATTGAAGCCAGGACAGCCAGACAGCCCCTCTCTTCTCTTTTGAACACACACTTCTCCCTTTCTTGCCTCTCACATCTTTCTAAATAAGTTTCAATAAAAATCGTCTTGTTTTGGGGCCAGAGCAATAGAACAGCAGGTAGGGCATTTGCCTTGCACATAGCCGACTGCATTCTATCCCCTGCATTCCATATGGTCTCCCAAGCACCACCAGGAGTAATCCCTGAGTCCAGAGCCAGAAGGAACCCCTGAGTGTCACTGGGTGTGACCCAAAAAGCAAAACAAACAAACAAAAAAACCAAAAAAAATAACAGAAACAAAATCGTCTTGCTTCACAAAACAAACAAATATACAAAAACTCATTATGGCAGAAAGATGGAAAATTGAGTCTGTCAAGTAGAGACTTCCTGATGGCTAAGCTGTGACTAGACCCAGGCACTGGTTGGGGGGGGGGTCTCTCTTCACTGCCAGGTGGGGGCCCCACAGCATTATTGCTCCCAGGACAGGGGGTGACCAGCTAAGGTCTGCAATTTCCCAGAGGACACCTCATGCAGGTTGACCACCTCAGGGGAATCCATGGCCCCCAGGGAGCAGACCCCACTTCTGGGAGGTGCAGGGGTTGCAGAAGTCTCTTCTGGAGGGCTAGCTGGTGCTGTCTGTGGGGAGAGACCCAGCTCAGCTTGCTTGGCCCTGAATTCTCTGTGTGTCCTCCGGCAAGTCATGTACCCTCACTGGCACCAGACTCTGACGGCAAAATGGGTGGTTTGGCACAGAGCAGGGGTGAAGAAACTGGTTTTAAGCTGCAGAATTATTTTCCATATGCCTAGTATAGAAAACAGGCGCAAGAGGTGCATGAGTCTGGGAGAAGCAGCGAACTGGGGAGGGAGAGGAGTTGGGGCCTGGACTCTGGGGCTTAGAGACCCCCGACCCCTGCAGGTGCCCCTCAGGCTCTCTGGGCAGAGTTCCTGACCTGTAGGGTGCAGAACCACGGCCCCACCTGCAAGGAGGAAAGAGGGAGGCACTGGGAGTCTGGGGCTGGTCCCATCCAAAGAATGGAGCCTGAGCCCTGAAAGCAGAGAGAGAGAGAGAGAGAGAGAGAGAGAGAGAGAGAGAGAGAGAGAGAGAGAGAGAGAATAGAAGGAAGAGGGGAGGAGGGGGAGGGAAGGAGGGAAGGAGAGAGAGAGGGAGAGAGAAGCTCAGGAGAGAAAAGGAGAGGAGTTCAGAAGAAAGAGAGAGAGGAAGAAGGAGGAGGAGGATGGAGGAAGGGGTGGATGAAAAGAAAAAGAAAGGGATAGAGGTTCAGGGGAGAGAGGGAGAGGGAGAGATAGAGGAAAATAGAGAGAGAGCGAGAGAGCGAGAGAGAGAGAGAGAGAGAGAGAGAGGCCGTGTAAGGGAGCATACTAAAACCACGAGATCCGTTCAAAGTCAACATGGAGACAGACAGAGAGAGAGGAAGAAGGAGAAAAAGAGACACATGTTTCCACTCAAAGTTCTATTTTGTTTAAAATAACCAACCCAACAATCTCTGCTGCTGACAGTCGGCTGGAGCCCGGGCACCAGGCCGTGTGACCGCAGCCTCCTGGCCCCCTGCCTGGGAGATGCAGGGAAAGATGGCCAGGGGCCTGCCTGTGGCCACCTCGCGGACTACAGCCCTGGCCCCGACACTGGCTCAGGTCTGAGGGTCTCAAGATGTCTCTTTGAGGAGCCTCTCCCTCAGGCCTGAGTGCAGTTCTGGGCGGAGAGCACCCAGCCACCCCCAGGAGGGGAACTATGACCAGAAAGAGGTCCTGGAGGAGACAGACTCAGGCTGGGCTTCAATCTGGGGCTTGGTCAGCTTCACACACCACCTCCATGCTCTGAGGCACCCCCCAATTCCTCTTCACTGGGCATGTGGTCCATCGCTCTGGGCACCTGGGGGTGCCCTGAGGACCCTGAGGGGTGTTGTGGGAAGAAGTTGAGTGCAGGGTGGACCTTGGCCTCAGCTTATCTGGCTCAGCTAACCCCCCCCCCCGCCCCGTTCTGCACCCTCCCCCATGCAGATTTTGCAATCATCATTGCATTCATATCCAAGATTGGCTCTGGCCACAGCCCCAGGTACCAGAACAAGAACGAGGCTAGGCTAATAGCAGAGACCATTTGGGAGCACTCGCCAGGCCCCAGGCGCTGCCTGTGCAGATTTTAATCTCGATGTTCCATGTGGGTCCTGGTGAATCCGCAAAGTCTGTGAGGTTGACGCCATAGGAGCGTCCACTTTCCAGTTCGTAAAACTGAGGCTCAGAGGCATTCACACACCCAAATCTCAGTGAGAGTCGCAGCAGGGTTTGTACCCAGACTTGTTTATTCACCACAACCCCTACACCCTGGGTTTTCGGAGGTACTCCTAAGGTCAGAGTTCACCCCTTTCATCCCCGGGACCATAGGGGCATGACACAAATGCAGCCTCACGTCCTGGATCGGGAGACAGGCCTGGGAAGAGCTGTTGCAGATGGGGGTTGTTCTTGGCACAAGGATATCCAGATCCAGGTTTAGTGGTAAATGTTGGGGGACACGGGCTCCCCCCATCCCCGTGTCTAAGCCATGAGCTCTCAACTCCTTCTCTTTTTCCAAATCGGCCTCCAGGAGGATTCTCAAAGGCAGGTAAATCTGGGGGATTCAAAGGAGTCAGGGCAGAGCTGGGGTCTGCTATATCTGTGATGATGGGACAAGATGCCAGAGAGGGAAAGACACGTGTCCGAGGTCACACAGCTCAGAGAGCCAGGGGTCCAGGAGAGACACTCCTTGGCAGAGATTTTATTTCCCTCATTTCCTTTGTATGTCACATGCAGCAGTGCGGGGCCTGCTCCTGGCTCTGTGCTCAGGCTGGCACCCGGCAGAGGTCAAGGGGTCAAACCCGGGGCTCCTTGTTGAGCCATCTCAGGTCACTCAGGGATGTTTCTTTTATTTATTTTTAATGGTTTTGTTTTGCTATTTCAGGTGAATGAGACCAGTTGTAGTTACTGAAATAGCTAAGAGGACGAAGAACCTCCGGCTCTGGGCACATCTCTTTGATTCTACTGTTCTTCCTGCATTAACATGTGCCTCAGAGACCTGGGCCCTACGCAAACAAGATGAGAACGCTATTCAGGTCTCCCAAAGAAGAATAGAAAGAGCTATGCTTGGAATATCACGTTTCACTCAAATGAGAGAAAGAATCCGGAGTTCTGACATCCGTCGATGATCAAGGATCAGGGACGCTGTCTCATTTGCCAAGGTGTCGAAAATCAGATGGGCTGGTCACGTAATGAGATTTAAAGACGACCGTTGGACCAGAGCTGTTACTGACTGGATTCCACGGGATGTCAAAAGATCACGTGGCCGCCCACCTACCAGATGGTCAGACTTCTTCGTCAAGATCATGAACGATTGGTTTGAGGACCTTCATGTTCCCGGAGCGAACAGATGCCATTGGGCTACACTAGCACGCGACAGGGACAAATGGAGACGTTACTGGTGCCCGCTCGAGCAAACCGATGACTAATGGGAAGTTAAGTGATTAAGTGAATGATTTTGTTTATTTTTTTTGTGGGAGGAGCCACACGCTGCAGTGCTCAGGGGACCATATGAGATGCTGGGAATGGAAACTGGGTCTGCCACATGAGAAGCACATGCCTTACCCTCCTTACCCACCGGCTGTGCTATCTCTCCAGGCGCTTTTCACAAGATAAGATTCATCCCGGCTGAGAAAAAGACAAAAGGCAACTAGATCATTGTATAACTGAATCCCAAGCACAAAAATTTGTAAGTCTACAACTGTACCTCATGGTATTTCACTAATAAAAAATTAAAGAAAGGCAGCTAGAGGGAGTAAAAGGCAGTAGGCGGGGCCCACCCAGAGGGAGAGGAGACAGAACTCCTGAGAGATGCTCCCCCTAACCCTTGAGGGGTGCTGCTGGCCTGGCCTGAGGGCAAAGGAAGACCAGGGCCCTGATAGAGCAGCCTGTGAAGACAGGGTCAGCTGGAAGTCAGGACTCCCCCTGCAGATCTGGCCCTGAGTGAGGACAGGGGTGTGGGTGGCCTCAGACTGGCCCAGGTGAGAGGGAATGTGGGCCTCAAGAGTGAGGGTTCTGGATGAATGCAGAAGATTGGGGAGCAGGCAGCTGGGGTGTGGCTCTGCTGTGTGGTCTCAAGAGGTCCAAATCCCTCTCTGGGCCTGGATCTCCCTCCTGGCCCCCCAGAGCAAGAAGAGTCCCTACCTCCCTCCCATCCATCATGGGGAGGCAGGCTTGAAAGCTGAGGGTCCTTTTTCACTTTTCTTTTTTTGAGGGGAAGGGAGGGAGCAGGGTGCATTAATTACACACAGCAGGGCTCAGGAATCCTGGCAGTGCTGGAGAACCATATGGAATGCTAGGGATTCAACCTGGGTGAGCCTTGGGGCTGGAGCAATAGCACAACCGGTAGGAGGTTTGCCTTGAACGCAGCGACCTAGGTTCGATTCCCAGCATCCCATACGGTCCCCCTAGCACCCCCAGGAGTAATTCCTGAGTGCATGAACCAAGAGTAACTCCTGTGCATCACCCCCGTGTGACCCAAAAAGCAAAACAAACAAACAAACAAACAAACAAACAAAAAACAACCTGGGTCAGCCTTGTGCAAGATGAGCACCCTGTCCTGCCCTCTATCCTATCTCTCCAAGCCCCTTATTTTGTTTTTGTTTTTTGGTTTGGGGAAGGAATACCTTTACTGGACCCTCCCAGAGGCAGCCTGGGGCTAAACCTGGGCCTGCCTCTCTCCTCCAGCTTCCAGCAGGCCAGCTGTTTTCTCCTCAGGAATGGTGAGGGGTCTGTGCTTCCAGCAGGCCTTGTTCGGGACATCCAAGTGGGACAGAACTCAGAGCCTTGAGCTGGACCCACCCATGGCATGCAGGCTCCCCCAGCATTGTCAGATGTAGTCCCAGGTTTTATATTGTTATTATTATTATTTTGGTTTTTGGCCACACCAGTGATGTTCAGGAGTTACTCCTGGTTCTGCACTCAGGAGTAACTGGCGGTGCTTCGGGGACCATTGGGAAGCAGGGGATCCAACCC